TAAGTTAGGGGGGTCAATCTACCCCAATTCGCACCGTGCACCTACCTCTCTTCAACCAGAAGGATTTGCATTCTGGAGCTCAAGTCCATTCTTGGACTAGTTCTCAGACAGACCAACTGGACACACACCATAAATGAAGGACTGTTCAGATTGGTGTTTTTGCAGAAGTTTTAGGGATTTAGCTGAACCAATCTTTTCTTCCCAGCAACCTTCTTTTCTGTATTGGAAATGCATGGAACAGTTTAAGACCTGGGAATCCACACTGGAATTTTGTTGGTGGATAAGGCATTTCTTGGAAATATCTGAAAAAAATTAACACTGTTTTGTATGTGATTTATGTGTGATATCTGAACCCTAGACAGTAGTAATTAGTTCTTTGGAAGTTTATTCTTAATAATACTTGTGCTGCAATCTCATTTTTAAATTAAGTTATTGCTGTACGCTTAAGTATTTTAATAGGGTAGAGAGAGTAATGGCTGTTTTCAGACTTGTTCCATCTTGTGAAAAGTGGGCAGGCATTTATTTAGGTCCACTGATGGAATGACATCAATGTGTTTTGCAACCAACACTAAATTATTAGCTCGTTTCATTAGAAAGAGAAAATCATTGACCTCAGTAAATTTAGATGGCACCACGTGACATTTGATGTAGCTATCAGGCCAGGAAATTTCTTGAGGACACTGCCAGCCTTATGCGGCCTGGTTCCGGCAGAGCTCCAGCAGTAGCTTCATTTAGACGAGCTTGCAGTTATAAATCAAAGGCTTCTGTTGAATTCCAGGTGTGCACAGGTGCGCCCAAAATGGCCCATAAAGCACAGGTTAGCGAGGGAAGACTCGGTTCACAAGCATCACACTGCTAGAAAGGCGTTGACATTAAATGATGAATGGTTTGGCAGCGAAACAGCACAGTTTATAGCAAAACATTGCGGGAATCTTAAATAGGCTTTCAATGATAGTCTCTTGGCATTACCAGTTGCTGGCAGACAACTTGATATTAAACCTAGGAACAGCAGCAAGCTCGAGGGTGAGGTACACAGGCGATGTTCTGCCATCGTGCCGAACACCTGGCCGGCGGTTTGAGTCAACTTACATTTTCTAGCAGTGCACCCTAACAGGTGGCTAGCATGCTCACCTGCAGCCCGAATGCAGTGCGGGAAGTTGATATTTTGATCCGTGCACATCTGAAATCAAGCAGGCATGATAATGTATAATGGGGGAGACCCATTGGCATGATGACAAGAAACTCAACTCTTGAGACAAAGTTTTCACAGAGACTCTCTGTTAACTAAATGGCTTCATTGTGAGGGAAAAGCGAACGGAGGCGACTAGATGCGGAATTTGTCTCCCCTTAATTGTTCTTCTAACACTCCTTGTCTCCTCCATCTACAAGTGTTAAGCTCTCCAACGTCATGCCATTCAGAATGTGGAAAAGAGGCAGGAGCCCGAGCCAAAGAGAGTAACATCCAAAAGGTTTTTTTCAAAACCACACAATATTGTGATTCAGCTCATGGTGACTGGGTGCCGATGTTACTTTAACCAAGGCTATTTGGCCAGCTGCCTTTTCACGCTGTTGCCTATTGATGAGTTTTCATCCGATTCTCAAAGGAGCGTTTTGTGGCGATTATTCAAGGGGTGATGCTAAGATCTTTTCTAACTTTTGGATTGAAATTCCTCTTGACATCATCCTTCACAATAGCAAAGCCTCTCTTTTTTGCCATCCCTTTCGCCTTTAGGGTGGACAAAATAAATAGCATCCAAAAGTTAGCTGGATTTTGCATAGTTAACATTTCGCTAATGGGCAGGCCTGCTTCTCAGGGAAACTGGACAGCATTTTTGGGGGCCACATTGGCGTTGTTGTGGTGACGGCGCTGAGAAGTGAATGAAGCAGATGTCAGAGTAATCCATCACCCCTCTTCCCCCTCCCTTCTATCTACCCTTTGCTGAGACACCCTCCTCAGTGCTACTCATCAATTAAAGCCATACACCAGCCCTACCATTAACATGCAAGCACTTTCGTTAGCTTCCTCCCTGCCCCGCGGTCATCCATGTAGTAAAAACTGTCAGAGCCAGTAGTCAAGCGTAACTTAACGGCCATGTACGTCTTGCCAGTTGTTACCGCTAATTTGAAGGTCTGTCAAGCTAGTGATGACTCTGTTTGGTGTAAGATGTAAAGGGGATTGTATGGGTGATGTGATGATTACTTAAAGTCTGCATAAGCCTGAAGTTGCCGAGACTTTTATTCCAGTATGTTGATGTACTTTTAACTGAAACGGAATATTGAGTGGGGTGGGGCTTTTGTTTGTGTATTTTCACATAGCAATTTAATGATAACAGGGGAATGGTTGAGAAAAAATAGAAGTAAATGGTCAGACTTTGATTAATACAAAAATAATAATAATTTTAGTGGATTAACCTTCACAGATCACCTTAAGAATAACAAAGTGTGCTAGAAAAATAAACATTGTACATTTTGATTTGATTTGATTTGATTTGATTTAAATTGAATGTCTGTACACCTGTGTACTCTACAGCATGTATTTTGTGATCACACTTGATTATAAAGCTTGTTTGGCATGCTGTCCCGGGAGAGAGCCCAGAGCTCATAAGATCCTCGAGCCCAGGGCTCCCTCCCGATTGCAAGGCGAGAGGGGAGTTTGAGCTCAGGTAGATCGCGAGAACTTTCCTGCAGTAGTAGCTAATGAACAGATAGTGATTGCTCTTAAAAGATACTTACTAGAAGCATGTCTATGATGCCGATATGGATTGGTCAATTAACTTAAGTTGCAGGTTTTTAGATGGTGGGAGGAAACCGGGGAACCTGGGGGAAACCCACGTGAGCAAGGGGAGAACGTGTAAACTCATATAGAAACGTCAGCTGGCTTGGTAAGGACTAGAACCAGTGAAGTTGCTGTGAGGCAACAGTGCTAAACACTGGGCCACCATCCCACCCATCTAGAAAAGGAAGAGGAGAAGGGGTGGAAGGGGGGATTCTTCACAACGAAGATGGTTGTGAAATGGAACTTAGGGTATTTATAGTGGCTTAGGAGTCGTCTGAATAGTGAATCATAAATTGGATAATGCGTGACCAGCCGTAACCAATCATGAGCACAAGACCCTCTCGAAATTAGTTTATAAATAAACTTCACAAAATGTGCTTAGGAAATGTATACCTCATGAAAAAACTGGTGCAAGCCAAGGAAGTATTTATTAACACTGTTCACAACATAATGCACAACATTTTGATCACTTATGACACAATCATGAAGTACAATCCATTTGGCAAGACATCTGTTTAAATTACCAATTTTTTTGTAAAATAATAATCACATCCAGGCCATCCTGTTTTTAGACTCTTGACAAAAGAGCTGTTCTTAAATTCTGATGCTCTTTGGTAAAAACACTCAGTCAGTACCAAAGAGTTTTGTCCCAGGATTATTTCACTATAGTCTCCCTTACTGATCCCATATGTAGGACCTTTGTCGTGAAAATGCTACTTGAAGTTTAAACACCAGTATGATCGTTATCTTTACGTACTTGGTCCGACTACACCACTATGAGTGGTACTTCATTGAGGTGTAGTTTACATAAACTGCGCAAACTGGTACCATGACACAATCACACTGTTCCTAGCTTATTTCTCTAATTTCTGTCCATCTAGAGGACACTGGTAGTGGGTTTTTCCTTTACACAAAATAAATAAAATACTCATATAAAAATAATCTCTTACAAAATATATGTCAACACAGGGACAATCTGTCTGGACAACCACATTTGCTCACAATGCGCAAAAATATCACTAGTGTTATTTACTACAATTGCAGAACAGAACAAATCTAGCAGCAAAAAAAAGTGTTATATTACCTATAATATATAACATTTATAGAACTGGTTATCTGATTTCAACATTCCACATCAGTAGCAGGTGGGGCATCTGTATTTAGGCTCTTGTAGTCCAAAGTGAATTAATTACTGATTCTCTTTCTTTGCCAACAGAGCAAATATTAGCCAAAAGCAAGAGGAGCTAGTGGCCTCATTAGCATAAAGCTTTGTGTTAAGTGAGGTCATAAAGTTTAAGAGTAAGTGGGTAGAATGTTGTTCCCATGTAAAAGTTTCTTCTAGTTGGACTATTCCAATTTAAAGACAAATATATTGTTGGGGAGTGACTACTTGTTCATTCCCTCTAGAACAAATGAGCCTCCAAACATGATGCATAATTCCAGTGTGTATTTGTACATATTGATATATGTGCAAGGGTTGATGGGGGGAAAAGGGTACAAAGACAATGATACATTAAACACAGTAGAGTCTCTGCCTTGAGAGACTAGCAATTACACCATGAGTGCAGCGCATGTGTTTTCGTATTGTGCATTGTCATTGGTTCTTCCCTAAGCTAAAGCACATAATGTACAGGTACAGTGTAAAAGTTGGTCAGTTTATTTCTATGCAAAACACACAACATCAAAATAGAAGGAGAGCTAATCTAAGCTAGTAAACTCGATGAGAAGATTCAGTAGTTTCCTTATTAAATAAATTAATATTAGCATTTCTCTCTAAATAAAACATTAAATATCACTGTTGCATCCATGTACAGTTTTTTTTATGTTGTAAGATTTGTAAAGTCAATAACTCAGGCCAAAATGTTCCTCAGAAATGCTTCCGCACTATCTACGGAGCAGAACACCCTCCATAGTCACACTCCACATGTTTCTCACGGTCCACAGATCAAGCCTTTGCAGGCTACTCCGCTCTGTTGCTCAGTACTGGAACAGAAGGGTGTCTACTGGTACCTAGACCGAAGCCTTCAGCAGAGCTCTGGAGCAAAGCTGAATGCATTGAATGCAATTCCTCCATCTAGACTCCACCAGGCCCACATTTTCCAGTGCAAATGGCTCTTTCCTCTCAATACCTGGAATCCATAGTAGTGGTCATCCAGCTGCGACAGTTGCAGACCTACTACCTTACAAGTTACAGGTGTGTACAATAACCCCAGCAATAAATATTTCACTTGCATGTGTACACTTCTGTCCGTTCACTACAGGTATTGCACTTGACGTAGCAACACCAAAGAAACTTGCAGTTGCACTGCCAGACACGCGAGTACTGGTGTGTGTTATATCCTCGTCCGCAGCACATGAGGTCGCAGCCATTGGTATGCTGCGCAGTCTTGTTGCAGATCCTTCCCTGGGTTCCCATGCTACCCGTTACAGGATCTGCCTCACAATAGTTGGGTGACTTCTCAATGTATACTAAATCTGTGTCCATGGGCTTCCTGTAGGAGTACGGTTTTTTAACTTTCAGAAAGGCCGGTCTCTTGTTCCGACTGGCGCGGACTGGTTCCACATGAACGGCGTGGTTATACCTCTCCTTGAGGATGTAACCCAGCTGCCGAAACTTGGGGAGAGTGGTCCAGCAAGTCTTGGTGGTGCAGGATCCAGATACGCCATGGCATTTACACTCTAAACGCATGTTCTTTTCCAAGATCTAAAGTGGGAGGAAAAATAAACAAGTCAATACCTTTGGGATTATTTAGGCACCTAGGTTCTTTTAGGAATCTTAGCCTAAGGTAATTATGAAATGCAGACTGATGGATGACTCATTGTTGATTTAGTTAGTCTGACTGGTGACAAATTTGAAGTGTGCAATCATCCGTTACAAAAGATAGAATTACTGATGCTAAGCGGGAAATGTATGAGGAAGGAAAAGATCTTATTTATGAAAAGGTATGTGGTGGTCTTTGATCATAAACTCTGGTTGAAAAGTTTAGCATATGTCCACATTACATATATATCTGTGTTCCAGCAAACGGCAATCTAGATAGACTAATAATACTGTAGGGATTTGTGAAATCACTCTTGGTGGTATTAAATTGGGTATTTTTAAGCATCAATTCTGGGAATGGTTAAACAGGTTGAGACAAAGGTATTTTTTTTAAACATTCCGATTTGAAGAATGCAAGGATTGTTAAACTTGCAGTGCTAGACTACCTCATTCCTCTCACTGTGAAGAGCGGGCCTGCAAAACACAGCTTGTGTTCACAGGCTCTCTGACTACTTGTAGGAAGCCGTTTCATTTGTGTACACAACACACGCCACAAATTGTTGCAAGGGGCAAACTATCAGAGGTTGTCTGTAGGAGTCTCTTGTCTTGTATAAGCAATAGAGCGGAATATGCACGGGATATGATATAAACACTGACTGAACGATGATCGCAGAGTTCCTACAACAATCACCCTGTGTGTAGTGTACACAGATAAAGCTCAGGAGTCAGGTTTCAGGTGCCTGTGTGCTTCCCCTACACACACGTCAAACCCCACAGGTAAAAGCAAAATATTTTGAGCAGCGGTGTGAATGAGAGAAGCTGTATCTTTTCTTGGCCTGTAGTTATTCTCATGCAAACAAATGCTAAATATTAATGTATCTGACCCTAGGAGAGCAGCAAAATTACAAAGAGAAAAAACATAGATTTGCTCAGAATAGATGAATGAATGGGTAAACGTAAGCAAAGCTCAGTGAAGCAGAGTGCCTGTTTAGATATGGAAGATATCCGAGAGGTTTGATTGGCATCAGTGGATTGCTTGTTCAAGCCGGTGCCGTCTTTAGTGTGGTTGGTTAATGTGTCTTTTTCTCCCTTTCTTTCTCTTCCTTTCACTATTTTTTCACTTTTGCTATGGCTGGCAGAGACTTTACCTTGCTTTTAATTAGTTTTTTTTTCTCCTCAGACTTACTGGAGTCTTTTTAGCAATTGTCTGGTATCTTGGATTCATATCGTACCTTGTGTGTTCTGGCTGCTGATTACTGATAAACAGTAGGTCTCAGGAAAAGTTTACAAAGGAAGGATCCATGTGTCTTGAGAGAGACCCCGCCCTTTGATCTTTCACATAGGCATTGTATTGCAGTCCATTATCCAATCAAAACCATAGGTGTGTTATGTGATTACCATAACCCAATATTTCTCAACTCCGGCCCTTGGCCCCCCTTGTCCTGTGAAATTTTTATGTCTCTCTTATTTCACACACAAAAATCAGTTCATGGATCTCTCTGTTAACAAGTTGGTGTTCACAATCATGAGAGGGGGGTCTCTCCACACCACCACCAGTGTGCAGCATTCACTTAGATCAGTGGTTCCCAACCTTTTTCTTAGGGGCCCCCCCCATGAACATATACAAACATTGGAGCACCCCCACCATATAAATACACACGCACGCACACACATATGTACTGTATATATATATATATATATATATATATATATATATATATATATATATATATATATATATATATATATATATATATATATATATATATATACATACATACAGTATTTGTGTGTTTGTGTAATATTAATATATAATATGTATACAAAATATAAAATAATCAGTTTTAACTTGTCTTGGCCTTCAATAAAACCAAAATTTAGGTAGGCTTTGACATACTGTCTAATCTTTTTCTTCACCTCTAAAGAATCATTGCATTCACGTTTCTCTGCCATTTTTGTTTTGATTTTGCCTTTACGAGAAGTTGGACAACCACATTGCGCAAGTGAGCAAAATTTAAATAATTATTTAAAGTTATTTATTTTAATTATTTTTACTATTATGTTGGAATTTTAAGCATGTGTTTTGATTTTTTTTTTTTTGGTACTAAAAAATACATATATAATAGTAGGGCTGCTCGATATTGGGAAAAATCATAATCACAATTATTTTGGTCATAATTGTAATCATGATTATTCAAAACGAGTATCAGAAAAAATACAATAAAATTATTAGCGCTCCTGAGAATTTTTTTTTTATAAATATTTCCCAAATTATGTTTAACAGAACAAGGAATTTTAACAGTATTTCCTCTAATATTTTTCTTCTAGGCTTATTTGTTTTATTTTAGCTAGAATAAAAGCAAGTTTAAATATTTTGAAAGCTATTTTAAGGTCAATATTATTAGCCCCCTTAAGCAATAAATATTTTTGATGACTTGCCTAATTACCCTAATTAAGCCTTTGAACTGCACTTTAATCTGAATGGTTGTATTTTGAAAAATATCTAGTAAAATATTATGTGCTGTCATCACAGCAAAGATAAAATAAATCAGTAATTAGAAATGATATATCAAAACTTTTATGTTCAGAAAAAAAAAACTTCTTTCTATGAAACAGAAATTGGGCAGGAAAAGTTAATATTCAGTTAATATTCAGGCTAATAATTCTGACTTCAAGTGTTTACATACAGTTATTTTCCAGCCTGCAAAGGAAAGAGAAATAAATACAATTAAATAAAAATATTAAACAAACTGCTTTAAGCATCTTCACTGTAAGAAAAACACTTTAGCTACAAAAATCCTTCAGAGAAACATTTTCTCGTTATGTTTGATTAATGATAAAACAGGCGGCAGCAGGAATATTTCGCGCTGTCTCTTTAATGGTTTCTCTTTCACGTCTTTTGATTCTCAACTTGTTTGTTTATTACACAAATGGGGGCTAATATAAATAATCACGAAACACCGCGTTTTGACACCTATTTGACCATTAAAGCGCTCACGTTAATGACTTTAGATGTCTGCGCTCCTCTGCTCGTCTCAGCCTGCAAATGAGAGCGAATGCTGACTGGCCGCATGCTTCTGGCTGCGTGTGCGTGCTGCACACACACATTCGCGCTTTTAAGAGCAACGCGTGCACAGCTGGAAAGGTGGCGGTATATGATGCATATAATCGTTTATCTTGATTAATGCTTTTTTATAATCGTTTGAAATCGAAATCGGATTTTCGATTAATTGTACAGCCCTATATAATAGTGGAGCATTTTTTATGCCATTTTTATGATCTAAGTCAGTGGTTCCCAACCTGGGGTCCGCGCCCCCCTAAGGGGGGCGCCAGAGTTCACAAGGGGGGCGCGGGAGAGGATAAGTATTGAGGTAGAAAAAGGCATAAAAATGCTCCACTATTATATAGGGCTGTACAATTAATCGAAAATCCGATTTCGATTTCAAACGATTATAAAAAAGCATTAATCAAGATAAACGATTATATGCATCATATACCGTCACCTTTCCAGCTGTGCACGCGTTGCTCTTAAAAGCGCGAATGTGTGTGTGCAGCACGCACACGCAGCCAGAAGCATGCGGCCAGTCAGCATTCGCTCTCATTTGCAGGCTGAGACGAGCAGAGGAGCGCAGACATCTAAAGTCATTAACGTGAGCGCTTTAATGGTCAAATAGGTGTCAAAACGCGGTGTTTCGTGATTATTTATATTAGCCCCCATTTGTGTAATAAACAAACAAGTTGAGAATCAAAAGACGTGAAAGAGAAACCATTAAAGAGACAGCGCGAAATATTCCTGCTGCCGCCTGTTTTATCATTAATCAAACATAACGAGAAAATGTTTCTCTGAAGGATTTTTGTAGCTAAAGTGTTTTTCTTACAGTGAAGATGCTTAAAGCAGTTTGTTTAATATTTTTATTTAATTGTATTTATTTCTCTTTCCTTTGCAGGCTGGAAAATAACTGTATGTAAACACTTGAAGTCAGAATTATTAGCCTGAATATTAACTGAATATTAACTTTTCCTGCCCAATTTCTGTTTCATAGAAAGAAGTTTTTTTTTTCTGAACATAAAAGTTTTGATATATCATTTCTAATTACTGATTTATTTTATCTTTGCTGTGATGACAGCACATAATATTTTACTAGATATTTTTCAAAATACAACCATTCAGATTAAAGTGCAGTTCAAAGGCTTAATTAGGGTAATTAGGCAAGTCATCAAAAATATTTATTGCTTAAGGGGGCTAATAATATTGACCTTAAAATAGCTTTCAAAATATTTAAACTTGCTTTTATTCTAGCTAAAATAAAACAAATAAGCCTAGAAGAAAAATATTAGAGGAAATACTGTTAAAATTCCTTGTTCTGTTAAACATAATTTGGGAAATATTTATAAAAAAAAATTCTCAGGAGCGCTAATAATTTTATTGTATTTTTTCTGATACTCGTTTTGAATAATCATGATTACAATTATGACCAAAATAATTGTGATTATGATTTTTCCCAATATCGAGCAGCCCTACTATTATATATGTATTTTTTAGTACCAAAAAAAAAAAAAAATCAAAACACATGCTTAAAATTCCAACATAATAGTAAAAATAATTAATATAAATAACTTTAAATAATTATTTAAATTTTGCTCACTTGCGCAATGTGGTTGTCCAACTTCTCGTAAAGGCAAAATCAAAACAAAAATGGCAGAGAAACGTGAATGCAATGATTCTTTAGAGGTGAAGAAAAAGATTAGACAGTATGTCAAAGCCTACCTAAATTTTGGTTTTATTGAAGGCCAAGACAAGTTAAAACTGATTATTTTATATTTTGTATACATATTATATATTAATATTACACAAACACACACATACTGTATGTATGTATGTATATATATATATATATATATATATATATATATATATATATATATATATATATATATATACAGTACATATGTGTGTGCGTGCGTGTGTATTTATATGGTGGGGGTGCTCCAATGTTTGTATATGTTCATGGGGGGGGCCCCTAAGAAAAAGGTTGGGAACCACTGACTTAGATGATGTGATGGCAGCCACAGGACAACTGCGCCAGTGCACTCACCAGCTATAGCTGTAGTGGAGAAACAGATTTACAGCCAATTTGGTGGATGGGGATGATTGGGAGGCCATGATCGGTAAGGGCAGATGAAAGTAATTTGGCAAGGACACCGGGGTTATACCCCTACTCTTTACAAGAAGTGCCATGGGATTTTTAATGTCCACAGAGAGTAAGGATCTCTGTTTAATGTCTCATATGAAAGACATAGCCCACTGACAGTATAGTGTCCCGTTCACTTTTACTGGGGCGTTAGGACTCACACAGACCACAGGTTGAGCTACTACCACTTCCAACAGCATGTGGTCTCGCATTCAGGTACTGACCAGGCTCAGCCCTACTTCATTGAGTAACCGGTCTTCGGCTGCAGGGTGATATGGCTGTGGCAGGAGTAAAGAAGGAATAAATACAAAAGAAGAAAAGTAAGGAAGACATACAAAATGTGCAGGACAGGGGGACGAAGACCGGAATTAAGAACCACTGCCATAAGCCTACTTTCATTGCTCAATGAAAAAGGCAAACTGATCTGTGAACTAGCTATGAATTTACAAGTCGCTATACTGAATGTACTTGCTATAAAGCAACATTTCAAAGGCCACTGGTCAGGCATTGGGATTTTAAGCCACAAATAAAGCTCTGTCCAGAGTGCTGAAACATCACACACTGCAGATTGGCACTAAATGACAAAAAGATTATGAAGGACAGTCATTTTAGCTTCAGCGTTATCTTTACAGTTGCACACCAAATCTTTTGGATTTTTTATCATTGTAGACTTCAATAGTTTCTTGAAGTTCATTATCAACCGAGTGTTCACTCTTGGTCCTGGATGACCACTGTCCTGCAGGTTTGAACTACAACACTTGTATAGAAGTTTATAGTGAGACAGGGAGCCTTGATCAGCCGGTTCAGATTTGTTTAATTTAAGCTGAATCTAAACTCAAGACAGTGGCTCTCCAGGAAGGCTGCAGACTTCTAACTCGCTTCTATTTCCAGAAAAACAAATCATTTAAAGGGCACATATAAACCGTTTTGAGAGATGTAACCAAAACAAATGTCCGAATGTATGTCCTGTTGTACATTTTTAGTTTCTTTAGTTTCTGAATATCCAAAGAGCCACATATTGATATATAATGTTATGATAGCTGTTTTAATGTTAAGTTATAATTAAATTGCCTCATGTTACAGTTATGAAATGGCTTGATAAGAAGCTGGAAATGTCCATGGGTCAATGACATGACCACATTGAAATGATCCATATAGTTATTCCAATAATTTCAAATGGCTGGTCATGTGCATTGCAAAACCAGAGCTTCTCCTTCCTAATGCTAATCAATTAATCCATGCCAATGCTAATCTAATACTAATCTATTAATCCAACAGAGTCTTGTAAGACTAAGAATGTAAACCAAAACACCTTTGTAATTTTTTTGGTGCCACATACCTTGCGTCCTACTTCATTGTTATGAAGGTTCATGAGTGTCCTGGCGTTCTGCTTGATCTCCCGTGCATCTAGGAAGACCTTTGAGAAGCTCAGACCGTAGCGAATATCAGCCGAGCATCCTCCCCACTTCCAGCCCTCCTCCTGGTTGTAGAAACCTTGCTTCTCCTTGTCACATCCACAGCCGCTTAGTGTACCCTGAGTACAAGCTGCCGTGATGGCATGGGCGACCCCGGCAGCGATGATGGCGTAAGTGAAGGCTGCCTCCTTACTCCCTGGAACCAAAAGAACATTCTCCGTCAGGTTTGCTGGCAGCAAGATCCAGTTACAGGCAGTTTTAAACCCCCTACATACCTGACATATCTTGACACTCAAAACAATAATGAAATGTGTTAGCTGAGTCAAGTGAAGTTCATTTATCATGCACCGATTAACCGTTTGGCTTTGGGTAGATGGTGTGGGGGGCTTACTGGGAAAAGTGTGATATAAAAATGATCTAAAACCAGACATAGGCAAAACAAACAGGGATCGCATACCTGTGATTACTCAACACACAAATAATTGTCCTTCAGTTGTCACAGAGAGGAAACAGAAAGACAAATAACTGTTTGCACACAGATGAGCAAAGGAAGGAACGGTCCATCTCTTTAATAAGCACAAAGGACAAGGGTTTATTTCAGAGACAATAGAATGGTAGAGATAGAGGGTATGTGTTTAGACTCAAGTCTGGCCACTGTCCCAGCTTCCGTCAGAACGAGGGATCCACCCTGTGGAGATGAACTCCTCAGGCATGCAGTGCCTCCCTGGCCAGAGCACTGCTATAATTGATTGCCACTGTTAAACAGGGCACTTCCAGGTTAACAGTGTATTTCATTTATAAGGACAAAGATAGGTCTGAAAACCATGAGGAGAGTTATTTGGGGACTTTTTTTTTTTGTAGGGTGAAATCAAGCAACTTTACCCAAACACCAATTCTACAAACAGACTTTTCCATTATTGATTTTTCCTCTGGAATGGGACAGAATCGCTAGCAAAAATTTTTTTTAAAAATTAAATAAAATGTTGCGAAGCTATATTAACATTCCCGGAAATCTACATTTCCGCTTGTGGATTAATGAGTCATCATGTATTGACAGTCCTAAGAATCATTTACACACCTGGAACCAAAGAACCACTTAAAAAGTTAACCTTTTTAGGCCTCATGAAGAGTGATGTCATGAGTTATTGCAATTAATATCTTCGCTATCTTTTGATCATTTCACAGCAAATAGTGAAAAACACACAAATATGTCAGACTGCTAACAGACCGGCTTAGCAATTCAGGAATTTTCACCTTGAAGCGATCAAAAGTCTTCAGTGGTTTCCTGAAACTCACTAACACTGGTATGTGTTGACCTGCTGATGATAAACATCTTGGAACTTTGCCCATGCAATTTAACAAAGGCCAGTTTGGGGCATCAATTATGTTGAGATTTTTATGAGTTGTTTGGGCTTGCCGCCAGGGGAGAAGGGATGCATCCTGAAAGAAAGGAAAATGAAGACTGCACTGACGCAAAATCTTTAAACTCTCATCAGTACTCGAGTAGAATGCTTCTTGTCTTTGTATATCACTCGAGCTGTGTTTACCCAAATCAAGATATTCTGAACACAAACACAGCTGATAAGACACCCATAAAGCATGTGTGTTATGACACGAGTGTCATTTCTTTTTCGAGAGAAATCCGAATCAGTGGCATCACATGATTCTCTGCAAGACGTCTCTTGCCAAAACTGTAAATGCAAGAGGTTAATTTATAAACCTCATACAATGTGCTTGTCTGGACTTGAGGCATTAATGCTGTTGGAGGAAAACTATTTTTGAGCATACCAGAGGGTGGTTAAGTCAGAGAAGATTTAGGAGTGTTGCTCTCAAGAAACATAAAGTAACACAAGCGCGAAAACGCTACGCCTTTCGCATATCCGTCCAGCTGCTGATTTCCAGGAGGCTATATTTCAATCACAACTTCATTCACATATACGATAAAAAGGTGAACGAGTCCATGCAAAATGTGCACCTAAGAGAAGAATCCATTGCCGTGTGTGCCAAATGTAGACCTTGGTACCAGGCCCTAAACATTATTGCACATTACTTAACTTTTTCTTTTTTGAGCATGCAAGCCCTTCCCCGAATGATTAACTACCGCTTTTCATCTCCTAGCTTCTGGTACTTTGAGCATGACTGGTCGTACACCTACTGAAACCAATCATGTTTGAACGGTTGTCCACTTTATTTAATCCTCTCTATACCGACCACAGACAAAAAGACTCTGGGTAAATAAAGCAGTCGGGCCGCTTCAGAAATGGAGACCACGCTCTGTCACTCTAAGTCAGCATCAACTTAGATGAGAGGGCACACAACACAAGACCTATAGCAGCTGTCCAAGCAGACAGCATTAAATAATATAATCAGCAGCACCCACAACAGATCCAGCCTGCCACTCAAGTGTAAACCTCTCCAGAACGAGATGGAAGGACATGAAAACCTGTGCTTTTTTTTGTCAAGAGGCGCTTGTCTTTGATGCAGTAGGATAAAATACAGCTTCACCTTCAGCAATAGATACAAGTCTCTACAGATCTAAGCTTTTCCCCTGGGCCTCAACCACTTCGTCGAAAGTCTGACTGGATGTTAAGTGTGGAAGGGAAAAGAAAAGAAATTTCATCAAATATCTTCGAAATTCAAGCATTGAAAATTTCCTTCTGCTAACTTCCACTGGAAAGTCCATGCAATAACTCGCCGACCTCTTTGAGAGCAAGGAACTAAAGCAAAGTCCATTCATCAAAATGTCGTAGGCTCAATAGCACTGAAGGACCTCTCAATAGACCAAAGTTTGCCTTAGGAAAATGGATTACATTACCCCAAGTTGCTTAATTACTTTTGCTTTGTCTCTCAAAGGTGACATATTGTTACATTTGTGCACAATACTGTACTTTCTTGTGCTCCTACCATTCAACCACTGTAACTTATACCCGTGGTAAAGTGAAAACCCTGACTGCCAAATCATTAAAATCTACAGATAAGACAGGACGACTAGAAAAAAAAAGAATTCTTTTGAGAGGCTGGATTGTTGAGAGGGCTATAAATCCAGCCGCGTTGGCACTTGCTCCATGAATGCCGCTGAAAACTACCTGACATTGTTACTGTGGCGTGTGAGACGTTAAAGCTTAGCCTGACATCCAGCGACAAATCATTTCAAATGAGATGTCAAAGTGAGGGAAACAGGTCACAATACTGCGTCATTCAAAGACTTTCTAAAGTTGCTTTAGTGTCTTTTTAACAAGACAGTCTTATCGAATTGTTAAACAAAGTGTGTTCTAGCAGGTGTATAAATGTTCACATTCATATTCACAAAGAATGTCAGTCTTTTAGCAAGAATCTGAAATCTACAAGCCACCCTTTATTTGGGTTTTGATCCCTCTTGAGATCCCCCTTAGTTCTAAATAAAAAGCAACACTTCATTTAACAATGTAAATGTAATAATTTGGTAACATACCCACTTTCAACTCTTTTCCAAAGACAGTTCTTTCCCCGAGGGCCGAGCAGTTCCACCTTCCATTTTTGAATTGAAACTGACACTCATTGATTCCCATTTGCGCTCCTTCTCCAATGACAATGATAGCGTCAGGCCGGCTTTGACAGATAGTCCTTTGACGAGGGGCCAAACCAGGAATTTTGTTACAGATAATACTCGCTCCCAATGCAACCACCGAGGAAAAGCCCCTGTAAAAGTTTTAAAATAAGTGAAAGTTTTTATTTAAATGGGAAATATTGAATATGTGCAATACAGTTGTTGAGGAACAGGCCATGACTGAGAGATAATTCAGTGTAAATTGCTGGTAACCAAGCTGCACTGAGAGAAAGCTATACAGTATTCATTCATTCATTTTCCTTCGGTTTAATCCCTTATTTATCAAGGTTCGCCACAGTGGAATGAACCACCAACTATTCTTGCATATGTTTTACATAGTGTATGCCCTTCCAGCCACAACCCACTACTAGGAAGGTTAAACAGTATAATGGATATATTATTAATGAATATATATTAACTCATGGCATATTAAAATATTATTCTCAGGATGAAATTAATGGATAAAATATGGGTCGATGAAAATGAAGCATGTTTAGTGTGATACAAGGAGAATTTATAAACTCTGGTGTCAAGTTTTTGCCAATGTCATCTTTATACTTAATGTTGGTTTCTTATCATTTATACAAACATCAAGCTCAGTTAAAAATTGCTAAATTTTCTTTTTTTTTTACCTTGAAAATGTCTATACTGTTGTTTTAAAGTATATTTAAAAAGATAAATTTGAGTCATGAATAAGAATCAGATTTTTTAGCCTTTAAATTTAAAGTTCAATAATTGAACAGTCCGTTAATAATCTATGGCATTTAATTAAAAGTCCCGTTTTTATTTTGTGATTTATTCAGCTTGTCTTAGTAGTGTTGGTGGTCTGGTATTCATTGTTAACCTCAACAAGTCTTGTTAGACCATACTGACCTGCCAAATGTTGTTTTCTAAATATTAATTTGGTCATATAATTTACTTTGTTTAAAAAATTATTATAATTGTTTGCATGGCTTTGAATTACGTTCAATAAACTGTAAACTGGCTTTGATGAACTGTAAACACACACAAACATATGAATCCAATTATCTTGTAGACTGTACATTTCTATTTTTATTTATTAAATTATTTACTATATTTTTTGCAGTTATCAAATTTAAGTGTCATATGAAGGCAGTAAAACGACAATAGCCTTGCAATCTTTATATTATGATTAATCATTATAAATCCTTAGTTAAACTAGGCTTTTTTTATATACAAATGTGGTTACTAAATACTTGACAGGTTAAAACAAGACATTCCATTTGACCCTACTTACCCAATCTTCAAATAAATAATCCCCAAACAGAGGAAAATGTGAAAAATCCAGCGGCGCGTTTTCCTGCTCATGTTCAGCCTGTGCTTTGTTAATGGACTGTGAAATGATAGCAGTCTCCTGGTGGGCAATAGCTTGACCGGTGGTTTTATCACAAGCAAAGCAAGTCCTTGGAGGGATGCAAAAGTCCGTGAGAGTTTGGCGTGAACACCTGAGCTGATATCCTTCTGGGCGCGTGGAGATCAACGTTATTCTGCATATGTACGACTTCTGAATCACTTTTACGCGTCGAGATTTAGTAGTACAACTATCCCAAATCTTACATTCACAGCAAAATTTCCAGCAGACTTTTTATCTGTTACATCTATGTGTGCGTTCAGGAGGAAATTAAACTTTCCGATATTCCTTTTAATCGTCTGTGCTCCCGTAGCAGGTTGATAACGCGACGAGTTATTTCAAAAGACTCCGCGAGCAAACGATTTTATATTATATAGGGAGGTCAAATCTGATTTGAGATACGACAAACTCACTGATAAACGACTTATGTGTCACTTTGATTATTATATCGCGCTATAACTATAATAATGCGTAATCTAAGAAAGGAATATTGTCTGCGCGCTCCTTGGCGAAGATCATATCGCAGTAACTCCAGCTTCTTAAACAGAGCTTTTATCTATTTTCCTGCACCCGTTTGCTCCTCCCATGAGAAAAGAAAACTTGTTCGACTTTAGATTTCCCCCTCACCCACCTCAAGCTCTTAATTGCGAGGTGAGAGATGTGTTCAACCATGCACCTTCCAAAAAAATAATAGACCTCAAAGGGCTGTGTGTGTACTCTGTGACCAAGAGCGGTACAACAAATATTAAACAAGTTCAAACTTTTAAAATGTCATTTAATCACCGGGCTACTTCCTTACAATTCAATTAATAACAATAGGTGCAAACAAAATTAGACAGGCTAACTCAAGGATAGCTCCATGGAAAGGGCTTTAAGTAATGGCTATCACAAATAAAAATCACCTTTTAACATCACTTATGTCACTTAATAAATAATAATCAATCTTAAATTATTATTAGTGAAAGAAATAAATTGAAAAAGTCAAACCCTGATTTTGACAATTGATTATTGAAATATTTTTTAGCAATTTTAGTATGTCGGTGTTTATATTCTCTGGTACCAAATAACCCAATAATGTGCATTGCGAAGGCATAACTAGGCATGGGATGGTAACCGTTTTCAAGATATACCGCCCTTAGGAAAAGTCCAGGTTTTAAATCCGCCAAAATGTTCTTCTATGCAGTTCTTAAGGTATGTGTAAGACTTTTTTATTTACATTTTATTTCGTTAGTTTTTTTTTTTGCACAACAGTATCTCCAGCAGAGAAGATATTTAAAGATGCCATACTAAATTGTAAAGAAATCTTTTTCTCAAACGAAGTTATTTATTTTTGTATTATTCAGCCTGACATGTTTACTTTTCCAAAATATTTAAAATGTTTCTCGAAATAAAATATATTGTGTTCAATTGTGTTCTTTTTTTACCCAAAAACATTCCCCAAACATCTTAAATAAAGAGAAGTGAAACGTCTCATTTAAACACTGCTAGTTGCTAAGCAACCATCCATCCCAGAATCACTAAGCACAATGCAATTACCAACAGATCTTTCATGCATGCAAGGTTTTGTTAATTTACACCATAGCAATAGAAAGATACAGTGAAATAACAACTGGCGATTGTCTGAATTCTAAATGAAAGGCGTTCTCTAATATTGTACTGAGATCTGATCATTCATGAAGAGAACACACAGACAGCTTCATCATCTCGTTTAATTTAGCCATGTGTTCAATATAGACAATACAATAGCGCCCTCTACAGGTTAAATTTAGGATGGAGGCCACAAGAATATCCCATTATGCTATTCATTTATCAAGAAAACCTTTTTAAAATGTGCATTACAACAGGTTTTCAACATTGGCAAACACTAATCATTGACAAAGATTGATGGTGATAATGTGTTATAATAATTATTGGCAAAATAGTTTTGTTTTAAAAGTGATGAAGTTAAAAGTGAAAAATTACTAATGAAATAAAACAAAATATTAATGAATAAAGTACTAATAAAATTATAAAGATTGAGGTTTTATTTTTTCATTATAACTTCAGTCATTATAATTTTCATCAGCACCACTGACCAAAAACATTTCAATTTACATTAAATAAGCCCCTGAAAAAATCTAAATCGATGCACTAAAGAAAACATTATGCAACATATTTGTATGGCTTTGTTATAAATAGATTCAAATAGTCACTGACTTATATATGTGAAATAAAAACATGAACTTCAGACACATGCATATTAAGTTACATTAAAATACAGAAAACAGGTGACATTTTAGTAAAGGGACCACTTTCCACTTGAGCAGCTGGCATATTGGCAGTTTAATACTACTTATAAATGACATATTATATTCTGCATCCATTAAACCCCTCTAATACATAAACACACTCACTATAACAAGCTTATTTTAGTAGCTATTAAGAAGCAATTCATAAGAGTTTTAATCATAATAGTGATTGTGTTAAAGAAAACATGAGCGCTTCATATTATCCAGCAAACTTGCATATTCCTTTTCTGTGTATTTCTGCCCCTCAGGGAAGGCAATAGATTGTATAGTTATCTTCTACACAGGATAAAATCACTACCCTACAACTATACAATCTACTACCTCACACTGCACAAGCATTACCATGTAAATAAGCTACTAACATACAAACAATAGTGTTAATCGATATTCAAAAACAATAAAAACCAAGAGATGTACAGGATGAAACTCTGTAGCTTGATTTGGACTTTGAGAAAGACAGTAGGTTGTATAGTTATCTCCCAGTGTGGGTGTGACCCTAAAACTATACAACCTACTACCTCATCCCACCGTCAACATGTAACCTCCAGTCCACCCGCAAATGAAGTGTTGCAGCCAGATCGTGACAGAAGTAACCAACTCGATGTTTTCTGAAGTCCTTGTTGCCCGCCATGTTAGGATTTAGTCCTTGGCATCATTCTGTGAATTGGGAAAAAAGAGATAGGGAATGAAGTGAAAAAAAACAACAAAAACATGGCGGCTCAGAAAGCAAACTAGTAATTGCACATTATTATTAATATCTATAAAAGAATGCATTGCGCAAAATTGTCTGCAAATGCTCCTCGAACTGCATCAGACAGCAGGGGTAATGCAGTAAAATGGAGGGCTGGCCAAACTACTGGCACCCTCTCGGCACCAGGACGCCATGTTGACATTGTGTGTGACTTGGCTGCATATTAACATCTCAGTCAAGATTAAACGCTGCCACATTCAAACTTGGGCCCAGTTTGGCTTTGGGATACAAGCCGACAGTAACAGCAGGCAAGCAAGAGGAAACAACAACACTCAAAGTCTATTTCCGCCATTTTGTGGGCTCTTTCTAAACAGTTTAGTGTTTCATCAAAAACTGGTTGTTGTTCTTTAGATGAAGTAATGCATTTGGGTTTACAAACTGTTATGTCTCTATGTCTATTCAAAATATCCGCTATGTCTCTATCCAAAATGGTGAATTTAACATTTCAAGTACTGCAAAGTTTTCATCCTGTGTGTTCAAGAGAATAAAATCATCACTTGCTGGAAAACTAGCAAGATATATTATTAATAATCAATATTAAAGCTTTCTGCGACCTCAGGAGGGCTCTTTGTCCTTCATAGGAAATGAGTTGCACCGTATTGCTGTTGCATTATCTTGCATTTGGAGACTGTTGTCTGATGTTTGGATCAGAAACAAAATCATTTTGGTTATAGACTTTAACTCAGGAGTTTGTGGAATTATTAAGAAAAAAAAACATTTAAGATTACTTACAATGAGAGCCACTGGCTAGTTCAGTTAGCTAATCACATCATCTGCCGAGGCAAAAATCACATGACTTGTTTTGATGCACACCAAGGTATGCGTTTCATTTCGTTTCCCTTTGTAGTTTCTGTTCATATTTAATGATCTAATAAAATAGATGGATGGAAAAATACTAAATTAAGAACCCGTTTAATCCTGATAACAATGAGTATCTTCAACAATACGCTCACAAACAGACAATGCTGAACAAGTGTGAAAATGAGGTTCTCACTTTTTGACCACTTCCACTTTTCTTTTGTGGAGCAAATCACCTTTATTGACTGTGTTATGCTCAACAGACATTGTTTTGCTCATGAAGTGAACCTCCCATTTTAAAATACCCCTTGGAAAATCCTGAAGTAAGCAGTGGTGAATTATAGTTTTCCAGGTTGTAACGTCAAAGCTTCAGTGCTATATTGTGATGAGAGAAAAATTGATGGAAGACAACTCTATGAGGAAAGAACATCCAAAGTATGAATACAGTGGCAAAAGATCCATAAAGGGAACTTGACTGAATCTATTACATTTGTCCTTTTTGCATTATTGTTATGTGCATGAGCCTAACTTACACTAAGTTTTCCAATCATGCTGCATTTTCATTTCATATTCAATGGCACAGTTAAGGACACTAGTAAATGTGATATTATTTCAGGTTACATCAGACAATAGCTGTGTCCAATAACTGACAAACGCTGCCTTTGGAAGATGCATTTCAAGATGCGTCCAGGCACCTCCAAGTTCAATAAAAGCTTTACTTCCTGTATCCTGAAATACCTTAATCTAGTTCACTTTTTGAAGGCAACATAGATGTTCTCTGCTTTTTATATCCCAAAATCAAAACCGAAAAAAGAACAATTTCAGTTTCTATCCCATCTGCCTAGTGCCTAAACAACATAGTTTACAGTGTCAGGTGTAGTCACTTTTAAGTTCAAGTCGCTATTGTCAGCATGTACCTTTTTTGATAAATTAAAAGAAAATTCAGCAGGTTTGTAAACTCTGCTTATAGAAATTGAAGAGAAAATTGTTTGCACAGGGTTTGTTTTAAGCAATTTTTAGTAATTTTAAAAAGAATTTATGAAGCCACGCTAATCATATAAAAATGTTTTAATTGTTATATTACAATACTGTCACACTCAAAAAGGTTTTATTTGTAAAT